CCTTGATCCTCCCTCCTTGCTTATCTGTAGGATACAGCTGTTCCTGAAAGCAAGTTAAATATTCTCATCCTAGAGAAACAGATTGGCAGGGATGCCTCAAAATAAACATCTGTCCTCACGCAGACTTCAAAAAAAATCAAAATGTAACTGAGTGATATTTCAGCTCAGGAAAAACTTGTGAAATTCATACATTCATCTTATGAGTAGTTGGCCATCAATTTTTGATGTCATAGCAGATAACTTTTCACAGTTATCTCTAGAAATATATTAATTTTGATCACTTTCTATCGCAGTTACTGCAGATTACTCTCTAGTGCTTTCTTGCTGTTGTAAAATCTAATGAACATATAACTAATTAAATATTTTGGAAATAAGAACATCACAGGGCAGAAGGTGGGAGGGAGGCAGTGTGATACAATGTGTTAATATCCCTTAATTATCCCATGCAGGAAAAGATCAAGAGCTCACAAGCAGGTATGCTAGTGTTCCTACCAGCTCTATGAGTTTCTACCAGTCATTGACATCTCTGCAGTTACAGGAACGGTCTGTTCTGTATCTTGTCCCAAAGGTGTCTCAGTGATGCAGACTCCTAGCCTTGGGATATTTCCTTTTTTTTTGACGACCTTATTGTTGGTAATGCCCATTAAATGCTTCAGACTTCTCTGGTGATGTTCCCTGCTATAAAGGGACTGCAGTGCTGCACTGTTACTCAGTGCTGGTAGTCTGTGATTCTCCTGCCTTCTTTGTAGTTCAGTCTGTTGTTATACAACAGAACATCTTATTACAAGATGTTTTGGGTGAAAATCTATTCTTATTTATCTGGTATTCTAGGTTAGAAACCAGTAAAGCTTGTGATCAGACCTAAAAGTTGACCTTCTTTAGCTTCACGTTACCATGGATATCATCATTTTGTTTCTTTTAATCTTTTTGGAATGTTTCTTTCCTTGCTGAACATGCTATAGAAACACCTCGTGTTTCTGCTTGCTTGAGTCTGCCCACATGAGTGAAAAAAAGATAGCATAACTTTTCTGTTAGGAGTTGGGAACTATTTCTGATACAGTTTTAGCATCAAAAGAAAATCAGGAAAAATATGCTGGTTTAATTCATGACTTACCAAACACTCATTGTATAGTTATCCAAATATAGTCTGGTGAGGACAGCATATGTATTTATTTCCTTACTCGTGTAAATTCTATGTGGAAAACACGTTTTTTAAAGAAAAAAAGAAAAAAAGAAAAAAAATACAGATGTTATTGGTGCATTCTCACTTGTTCAGTGTGTACACACAGGTTTCCTACAGCAACAGCAGATTATGGTGATGTCTTAGAGGCGGCAAGCAGTGATTATGCAGTTACTGGGTGGGATCTTTGCCTGCAGTAAAATCTAGTTTTCTAAAGTAAACGTGACAACAGAATTGCATATATAAACTGTGCATAGGCATAGATATGTTGAAACCTGTCTGCAAAAGCAGCATGGTATCATTCTGCCTGTCACTGTAATCATTTTAGGCTGTGTATGTAGTATTGTCACAGTGTTCAAAGCCCTGAGTTTCCTGATGCTGGTGGGTGCAACACTGAAGCTTTGCCCATATGCTTATCTGCAGGCCATGTCCTAGCCCATATGATCTTTGAATAAACTTATGTAAACCCTTTGGAAATGTGGCACTTGACAAAACTTGCCTTGGGGTTCACAGTGATTCTTGAACAGACAGAAAATTAGCTCATCTGAACTGTAACCTTATTAAAACTTCAGGGCTTGCAGATTTACTTCTAAAAGGAAAAAAAGAAAAATGTGCCAAAGCAGTTCCAAATGGAGCTTAAAAGGGGTTGTACAGAGAGAAAGAGATAAAAAAAAAAAACACGTCTCAAGCTAAAGGGAAAAAAAAAAGATTTGTGCTGGCAGCAAAGAACCCTCACAGCCATCTCCCCAGAGTTAACAGCATCAGAGACAGTAGAGCAAGGAGAGTAATTAGTACCTTTTACTCAGCACTTCCTAGACCACATCTAGAACACTGTTTGGAGCCCCCAGTTCATGAAAGGCATCAATAAGCTGGAGGGAGTTCAGTGGAGAACCATCGGGATGGGGCAGGATCTGGAGCACTTGTGCTGTGAGGAGAGGTGGAGAGGAGGGTCTGTTTTTTTCCACCTGCAGCAGGGATGTCTTTGGGGGTCTCTCAGTCTCCCAATGCCTACAGGGATGTAATCAAGAGGCTGGAGCCAGGCTCTTGACAGTGATGAATGGTGGAAGTATGAGACATGATGGTTACACTGAAACAAATGTTCAGAATGATCTTTATTATCATGACAGCAGTCAGGCACAGGAAAAAGTTTCCCAGGGACCTTTCTCTGTCTCCATCCTTTGGGAGAGCAAATATCCAACAGGATAAATCCCCAAGCAACATAAACCAGCCTCATTGGTGACCCTACATGGCGCAAGAGGTTGGACTAGACACTACCTGATGTCTAACGTGAGTTATCCTGCAGTCCTGTGAACTTATGGAAACTGGCCAGTTCTCAAATGAACATCTCAACAGAGGAATTTTTGTATACATTTCTCCTCCCATGGGGGAGTATGTCTTGCTGAAGAGGCAAGACCAAGGAGGAAGGTGGTGGCAGGATGGAGTTAGCTGCTGCAGTTTAGGTGACCCACATCTTCCTTGCTCATGTTTGACAAACCCAAAGGGATGATGCATAATTTTTTTATTATTGATCTTCTTGACATCTGTGAATGAATGAGATGAAAGTGCTGTTGTGAATATTTTCCTAGACAGCATTTAATCAGCACGGTAGAAAAATTAACATGCCTATGCATCTAAAATAACATACCCGTGCATTTAGATGCTTCTTGCATACCACTTTCCACGTGGCCTTTTCCAACATTGTAAGGGAGGATAGACTTTCTAATGCAGAATCTTATCTCTAAACTCATTCCAACTCTGTGTGCATATAAGGTATTCAGAGAGCTTAAATAAGTATTATTAACTGTAATGAGCTGAGAGTTAAGATTTGACGCAAAAGGATGTAAGTATTATGCTCTTATATGTTGAAAGTAGAGGAAAGCTTCTTATATAGTAAAGTATATTACAGATATAGTGTTTTTTTCTTCAAGTTCATCATTGCTACTAAGCAAATATCATCTGATCATATTTGCTTGATTGATTCATTTTTCTCTTAGTCTTTTTGTCTAAGTGACTATTATAATGTTCAGTTATGTTCCGTACTGATTATTGTGGATAGGGATCCACACTGGAATCACCTATTAATTTTATGAGGAAAAAAAATTATGAAAACAAACAGATGTTCAAGTGTTTGAGCATTTTAAATATTTACAAGAAGAGTAAAGCACCTCTTTGCTTTTGATATTTGCTCAGTTTGTGGAGCAGCAGTTTATGCAAACACATCAGGGCAAGATTTCTCCACTAGTTACCTAGCAGAGTCTAATTGAAAGTGGTCATATGGCTCCTCCTGTTTTCAATTTATAATTTCCTCTTACAACAGAGTAAGTGCATTTTACCCATTTTCACTCACTGGTGGGTAAAAAGAAGGAGATTAGTCATCACATAAAATATCAACAGAAAGAAACCAGCTGCTACTAGACGTTAAGAAGGTGGGACAATTTGGGAAGAAAACCATGTCTGGGAAGACTAGGGCTTTTTCTCTGGTGCTTTCTCCTCTCAGCTGTGCTGAGCAGTGCTGTGGTAACGTGTCGGTTCTCGCTTCCATTTCCTTCAACAGCTTGCCACCAGGCAAACGGTGAAGATAGCCAAGAGAAACACACCTTGTGACATCATTCTCTGGTGGATACATTAAAGTTAATTAGTTATGCTCAATTTTCTTTCTTTGTTCTCCACTCTGTCTAAACTATGTTTCAGGCTCCACTGATGATAGATGAAGACTAAATAATATGCAGGCTTGTACGGAGCATTTTCTGACTAGGGAGATTGAAAAAAAGAAGTCTTATTTATTTCTCTTAACCAATTTAGGGGAACATAAAGTAAAATTTTATTTCATGGGGAAGAATATGAGGAACAAGTTTGATATAGAAATAAATGCTTATTGATGTATTTTAAAACAAGCAAAATACACTGATTTGACAGGTGAACACAGTATAAACATTGGTGCAGACTTCTAATTGCATGTTGACTAAAAAGTCTAAATCTTTTTCTTTTTTTTTTTTTCTTCCTGACTGTATAATATATCTGGTGATTAATTTAATATCCATTATGACTGCAAGACATCAACTTTATGCACACTAAGTTCTTTTATCCTCAGGCCAAGAACCATTTTGCAGGCGTAATGCAAGACTGCCTACAGAGCTGTGTGGGTGTATATAAGCTCTAACCTGAACATCTTGCAGTGTTCCCAAGTGGGAGGGTAATTTTGCCTCTTCATTGATTTTACTGATGTCTCTTATGAGCAAGTAGTGCCATTTCCCTCAGCCAGTGATGAATTGCGTGTGCCATACAATGTGGGCTGTTGCTCACCGGAGGATTAAGCAGGAGCAACAAACCTGCTTCTCTTTCCTCAGACCTTTCCTGAGTGACAGACACCTGCGTCATCCTGTTCAGTCTTAACATTTTGATCTCTCAGAGCAGCCCTCTGGTTCTTCCACAAGAAGCTGTCTGTGCTAGCAAAAATGCTTACATTGCAACGGGAGCATTTGCAACAAAACACGGGGTTACTTGGGCTAAAATCTGCAAAAGCAAATAAGTTTTATGTGTAGTCTCAGCGCTGCTAAATTATGCTGGTTTTAAGTACCTGCAGTAACCATGGTATCTAAAAGTTAGAGTTACCGCAGCAGTTCCTTGGCTGTGCACTGGTACATACTGTACTTAGTTTTTAATGGAGCCATCTATACAAATTTTACATTTTCACATAAAACTCCTTAAAATGAATGAAAACAAGCGTGGGCTAAATGTTTGTGCTTTTCAATGCTTTTTCTGTTACAGGATCTTGCTGGCTTTCTTAATTGCTAATATATGCGGTTTCTTTGTCTTCTAGAATGTCGGGTAGTGAAATCCACTTCCTACACCAAAATAGCTTCAACTTCCCGTAGGAGCACCACCAAGAGCCCGGGCCCATCTCGGCGCAGCAAGTCTCCTGCCTCTACCAGCTCAGGTAAAGCAAGCAAGAATTGTTTCTTAATATTAACAGCTAATGTCTCTGGATACAATCGGCAAAGTGCTTCAGATTCTGTGTTTCTGGCAAAACACTGTATTCGTAAAGTAGCTGACAGAGCTGACAGGTAAAATTCACTTGCTTTCTAAATCACATCTGAGATGAAGTGTCTCCAAGTGGTGTGAAGTGTCATACCAAAGAACTCTGCATTGTTTTATAGATTGTACTTTGGCAATGTCATGGTTCATTTTCCTTTTTTTTTTTTAAATTTCTTTCCTTTGCATCATTATTATCACAAACCTAAAGACTAAAGAGATATACATTGTGCTAGGGACTGCATAAACACAGTGTAGAAAGTAGTCCAGGCTGCACAGTGGAGACTCTGGTTTGTATTTGCATCCTGCACCATAAGGTTTTCAAATGGAAGAGAGGTGGTAATTGGAATGACCCAGGTGCTCCAGCCAGTTTCAGAGAGGGGAGGTACAAATCAGCCAGCTCAATGTATTTCCAAGAGGTCTACATGGAGCAGCAGAGCATCCTGCTTCACGGGAGGAGGGAATGGGGGAGATGCAATGAGAGGGGGAGGCGTAGATGTGGGGAGCAGGGCTAGGAGGCCTCCTACACATTCTCAGAACAGCAGAAATGAAGAAGCCTACAAAGAAATAATGGCTTATAGTCTCTTCTTGTGTTCTTTCATAAAGGTACATTAAGCAGTTTTCTTTGTGGGCAGGTAGAACAGAGTTAAATTAAACTTTAGTAAGGGAGGTGATATTTAGTGAGCAGATGCTATGGACTCTTTTTTAATCAATATTAATTTACGATATGATTGATAGAGCCTGAACTCTGTATGTGCATTTCTGTGTGGAATAATTCTCCTGCTGTGCATAAACAAATGTTTCTGTCAAGTATGTGACTGACAGCATTTTTGATACCTTGGCTACATGCTACTTTATTGGTTGTGTTTCAAAATAAATAGTAACATTGTTACTAAAACCTGCAGGAGAAATGAACATGAGTAAATTCTAATTTCCTGCAATTTAATTTGACTAGTCTCAGCAGAATGCCTTAACTTGTTTAACCACTGAAAACGATCAGAAGATTCTTTTACAGCTTATGAAAAAAAGAATACTTTCATCATGCCACAGTGATAATTAATACATCATTAAAATTATAATAAGAAGCGTGGTAATGGAAATATTAAAAAAAAACAGCGTTTTGGAAGGTTCAATGTTAATGACAGATTTACCTATTTTAAACGCATTTTATTATTTTATTAAAAAAGAAAGAATGACTTTGTGGGAAATGAACATATTATAGTCTGTCAAAACTAGGTGTGTGACCTGCCCCATCTGACAGCATGATTGGAGCATTGTACTGAGGAAGATTTCCCTAGAAAAAGATACTGGAAGAGGTCCTACAGAAATGTATAGGATGCCGGCAGCACACCTGTTAAAGGATAGGAGCCTATAATTTGTTACAGCTTAAAAGGGCAACAATTTAAAATGTTTCTTTAAAAATTTACTTCATTGGGAATATGGTTTTGATTTGGTTGTTTCTAACTTCTGTGTTTGCTTTCTGCAAACAACAAAGAATAACAAAGTTGTGTGAATGTTCCAAAAAAAATTTCAAATCTGAATATTTGCATGAATATTTACATCCATATTACTGTCATAAAAGAGGTCAGTATTATATGAGTAGGTACTTGCCCTTAAGAAGAATTGTTTTTAGGCCACATTAAAAAATCGATAGATTTTAAAAATACACAGCTTGATATGATACAATGTACTATAAAAACCAGCAGCTGGAGTAAATGAACCAGGCTAAATCAAACATTTATCTTGAAACATAGCTATTTTTTTGCAATTAATATGGCTGTTGCTGTCTCAAGGTAGAGAAGCCTGCTCCTAATTGAAAATAGTCATTGTTTAAATAGTCTCCTTTGGTCCTTTATATATTAAAAAGAGTTTGAAAGGAGAGGAAAAAAAAATGCTAGTTTGTTAAACAAAACTCCAAATGCTAGCATTTAGTGCCAATATTATATAGTTTCACTATTATACTTTCCAGTAGACCTAAAAATACTGCCTGTTTTTCTACTTACATACACGACAGGAGCAGAATATAGAAATTATTATCTAGTGCACATACCTATGGATACTTTTTTCCATATTACTTACATATTAAACTTCTGAATATTAGAGTCTTTTACTGTCATTGTTGTTAATGCTGAGTATATATATGTGGGGATTTTTTCTTATATACTTATATACTTCAAGCTGCTTTCAGTTTATCTTTAAGTTACCACTAGGAAATTTTCTTTTATTAGACATAAACATAAAAAGCAGTTGAGAAGCAGGGTAGGTTCCTTGCTCAGAACACAGACAATACATATATTCAAAACATATAACAATACATATATACAAAAACAAAAGCATGTACATGTAGAGGACCTTCCTCAACTATCAATTTGTAAAGTTTTCTGCATCATAAAAGATAGGCAGAAAGTTGAGAAGAGTAGGAATATGGGGCAGGCAGAAAGCATTCCTGGCAGTGTGCCCCTGAGAAAAAGCCAAGTGAGAGAACCTTTTAGGACAAAAGGCCTTCTAAAGAGGTGTGTGTTACTAAGTAGAAGGTGATTCCTCTTGCTGGGCTCTTGCTGCATTTCAGAAAATCTGAAAATGCTACACAAAAAAATGCAAAAGTTGCAAAATCAATTATTAAAACTGACAAAAATCTAATGTAAGGAGATGACCCTGGGTTACCTTTAGTTTTGTGCTATATGTATCTAAATTACAGAGCAGTCTTTAATGCATTTGGTTGGCCTAAAATGAGAAAAAAAAAGAAAACTGCATCTGCTTTTACACAATTTCTTGTCTTTTTTAAGAAAGTGTGCCCTTCTGTAGGCAGTAGTTGTTTTCTTCCATCATTGTTTTTCTTCCCTCCTTTTCTTTAGTGCATGTTTTTAATATGCTTGGATTTTCTTGGTAGTCTCTCTGGCTTCTGAGGGTGGATGCATCCTGTTTTTATGTGAAGGCAGAGCACACTTTTTTTCTTAAAAGGTGTAGGCTAGCTCGAAAGATCTATGGAAAGGCCAACTTGTACTTTATTTTGTGTTTTGTGCAGCCTTTTATTTGTATCTGACAGTGTTTCAAAACAGTGCCACGAGATGGAAATCTCACTGCGGGAGGATTGCTGCCTGATTTTGACTAATGAATTTGAGGTTTTGTCCGTTCCAAAATGCTTCCAGCCTACATAGATAAGAGCAAACAGGAAAAAAGCATGGGAACAAGAGCAGAGAAGGGTATCGTGACCTCCCAGCCAGGCAGAGTGCTCAAGCCTCTGGCTCCAAATGCAATAGATAATCCTGCCTCTATTTAATTTTTTTTTTCTGATATGTTCCCCAAGTCTGTAAAACTTTGATATTTTTTGTTGGCACTGAGTATTATTCAGGAGACGACAGTACAAAAGAGATGTTGAATTACAGTGAGGCCACATATCAACCCATTGCCAGTGACTGAAAATTATGTCTGAGAGCTATTCAGCAGCTGTCGGCTTCTGTCCAGCTACCAATTAACACCGCTGGTGGCAGCCTCAGCTCAGGTGAAGAGCTAACAGAGCTGAAGCAAGCCACCCTTACTTCTTCCTGGTCATTATTTTTAATCAAATCAAGAACAGCTTGAGACAGATGGGATTATTATACCCTCAATCCCTTAAATTATGGAAAGTTATTGCATGCAGGTAAACTCTTTTTAGCTTTGAAATCCAAACTCTAATTTTCAGGATTTGCTTTTAACAGAAACAGCTACTTTTTTTTTTTTTTTTTTTTTTTTTTTTTAATTCTGGACACCTCCTTCAGAATTATTTGCTTCCCACCACTCTTTCCCACTTCTTATCCTGAAACTATCATCTCCCAAAATATTCCATATCCTTAATATGTTATTTTTAACTGTGATTTATGTTTAGTGCGAATTTCAGTTGCTGAGTACTAGTGTTTTTCAGGGGTAAGTGAAATAATATGTATATTCTCTGTGACGAAGGAAATGTTTGTGAAGAATTGATAGAGTAGGTAGCAATATCTTGGGCTGTGTGTGTTTTAAAAATTGCATCTGGGCAAAGAAGTCATGAAGACACATTTTAAAACTATAAGCTGATAGATATCCCCTGAAGAAAAAATGTTTTAGGATACAGAAATTGGATCTTACTCAAAGGCTTCTCTAGAGCAGATGCTTATACTTTTCTAAGCTATTTAGAAAAAAAAAAAGGTAGATATATTCCTTTGTAAAAATATGTTTTCATTTAGTTTGCTCATCCTTAGGCCCCTATCCTCTAACCAGAAACAACCTTCTTCTGCCACCTGACTCAGGAAGGTCTTTTGGGTCCCAAAGCAAGGGAGATGACGTATAATATTATCTTCAGTACAGCCACATGTTTTTATTCACACTATTATATATACTCAGCTGGCAGGTTTTTTTCCTTTTTAATAAATGTGCTGAAGCAAAACTTTTCCTGAACAGTACAAACCCATGGGAGTGATGGAGTCATCCCACAGTTCCAGGGTTTTCCAAAAGAGTTTTACTTTGATCCTATGATCCTTTTAATTTTTTATTTATATTGATGATATTTAGAACTTAAAAGATTAAGTTTTGTAATTTTATAGCTTATGTTTAAATGAAGGATTAATAAGGGAAATAGAGATGGTTAGACTAGTTTAACCTTCTAAAAGCAAACCAGTCTTCAAGTTGGTATTCTTTTCCTTTAGGCTAATGTGAGAATCCTTGTCTTGCTAATTAGGCCAAACAGTTCAAAAGAAAGAGATTTTCACTAAGTCTTAGGCTTTCTAGGTTATACATTGCGTGAAATTAGGTGCCAAGTTCATAGAGATTAAATATATTCCAAAAAAATGCAGAGAAAAAAAAATATCAGGAGGCATTTACTCAACTTCTGATGCTCCATGAAGTTACTGATTCTGAGGAACTGTGTTTTCAAGGAAGGATCTTGTCTTCTGATGTCTCAGGCATGTCTGCAGTGTCTACAACACATCTGCATCTGCTTTTCAGTGTGGGCATAGCTCAGCCAGGTTCAGGTTGGCATCTCGGTGGTGTGCTAGCGGCCACCCCATGAGATCAGGGTTGGCCAAGAGGCTGAGGCTCTGCCTCCCAACTTGGGTGGGTTTTAAAGTCTGTGCTGTTTGAGATGTGTGTTGAGGTTATCACAAGTACCAGTGACTTACCAAGATGAGTTGAAAGTTTGCTTAGGTATCTGATGCTGCTGGGATGAGAATATAAATCTCATCTTTTCTGCCAACATTTCTAATGCGCTGATAAGCTTAAAGCTCTGTTAAGCTTTGTCTTCAGTGGCAGAGATGCTCTTTTTGTATCTGGATAAAAGAGTGAACATAAAAAGGACTGTTTGGCAATAGTTAAAATGTATGCAGTGCTGACTTCTGGAATATATCTCAACTCATTGCACTAAGGAAGAACCTTTTAAGGGCCTTACTGAGGAGCGATAATGAGATTGCTTTCTTGATCATCGCTCTGACCAAACTATCTCTCTTGATATGTCTTGTTTGCTCAGAAATGTTTTCCTGAAATGTAAAATGACGAACTACAAGAGTAATTGGGACAAGGTCAAGTACTGATCTTGCAACACTATTTTGTAATTACTTTTGCTGAACACGACCTACACATGTTGTGACTCTGTAAATTATCCTGTAGAGGCTAGTCTTCCAAAGCTGTGGTTGGAAAAAGGCCTACATCATTCCCTTCTCCCAGTCCCCATCTCTCCCATGTTTTTCATATACATTTCTTTTGTGTTTGACAAACCACTTTTGTAAACTCACAGAGTCATCCCAACATGTGCACAGCGTACAAGATGGTCACACATCAACAGGCAGGTTTTATAAGGAGAGTATGATTTTAGTACCACACACTGGCATTGGCAGCTTCTCATACTGGCATTTGACACTATAATCCAGCTTTTCTCACTTTTGTTTTTATTGCATAATAAAATGATACATTATGAAAGTGATTTATTTGCTGGAATGTGGTCAAGGTCTTTTTGTTTGCAACATTTTCACTAGTTTATAAGCGTCTTCATATGAAACCTATTTTCCATGTGTCTTAGTAAATGATGGTATCCAGCTTTAGTGTTCTGTTTTGTGTTTTTTTCTCTACTTTCATATGTGTGCCAGGTGCTGCAAAAACAAATAAAAAGACAGGTTCCTGTCCTGTTGTGCTTCCAGACTCAGCAAGAGATGACAGTAAGCAAAGGATTTCATAGCTAAGCATGTGCATACATGTGCTCAGTGCAGCCACAATATTTTTGTTATTGTTTCAGCTTTTTAATACATATTTCACCTGTGCAATTTTGAACAGATAAATCTTTTTCATGAGACTATGGTAGAGCAGTGTGTGTTAAGCTGAACTCACTGACCCCTTCCATTTTATAAATAAAAAGTGACAAGGAGCCTCTTGCCTCACTCAGTAAAATGATTTATCGCAACAGTGATTTACCAGTTTCATATGTCTTTATCTACATCAGGGTTCCCTGTAGGAACATGTGCTGCATCAGTCATGCAGTACAAACCATGCAGCTGGACAAGAGTGCAGCTTCAAACTACAATACATTCCAACAAGAAAAGGACTTTTGAGGCAGTTTAGACTACTTTCTGGTACTTACCAGAAGCGTAGAATTATTATATACTGAAAATTAAATACATTATTGACAAATATTTTAGCCATATTATTTGGTCATGAGCTGCATGGGGTTCTGGACATAATTGGACATAACATGAACTTTGTTCATCCAGAAGATGAACAAAGGCCAAAAGGAGGAGCCTTAGCATGGAATAGGGAATTATTAGGAATTATTTCTTCTTTGTTGTGATCTTCCAGAGTCCTGTTCAGGTTGATTCTAATGCTGACCTTGTACAGACTTTGGTCATCCAACTTTGTTTAATGATATTTCGCAGTTGAGTTAGAATCCACCAAAATTTGTAGGTAGGGAGAATTTCAGTGTTTTATTTTAATCTCCAACATATCTTAATCCAATAGACACCAAGGAATGGATTCATCTTAGTTCAAAAATGTACAGTATAGAAGAGGAAGTGCAGTTCATCAATCCATTTTAGATGCTTGCTTGCAGATGTTACAGCTCACACTCTGACAGAACTTCACTTAAAGTGAAGTCTAGAAAATTAGTTTAGAAGTAGGAGCCTATTTAATATATACCTAAAGATCAGTAAAATGAATCCCATACCCAAATCTAAGTTCACATCTATTTTTTTATGCTAGAGTTTCCTAAACATCTCTTCATAGATGTTTATGACCTTGTATACTCACAAATATCCTAGTATGAGCACTTAGGGACCTGAATTTTGAACATGGATAAAAGGTGAGAAAACTCCACTTAAATCTCTTTAAGGCTGTAATCTATGCTCTAATTTTAAAAGTTGCAGATGGTCAACATTAGCATGAAAGCTCTAAGAATAAGAAAAGCTCTAAGAAAAAAACGATACTCAGGAGAGCCCTGGAACTTAATTTGACCACTCTGGGCTCCCTGATAGTGGCAAGTGAGTAATATTCAGGGTTTGTATATGTATTTTTTTTTTTACCCTAAGTAGATACTTAGCAATCAGATGTGAGAAATGCATGAAAGTCAAGTACATCATTGCATCTAAGACTGGGTGGTCTCAAGTCTTTGTCTTTGGGACAAAATAACTGCAATAGTAATTCTAAGCAAAAAATTGTTTCAAATTATGAGGAAAGAATCTCTGAGGAACAGTATCTGGTACTTTGTCTTATGAGGTTTATTAAAGTGTAGTTATTTTAAATTTTCTCATAGCTATAGACAATCTGCTTGGCTTAAAGAGAAGACTACCCGCTAGACTTATTAATGAACAAGCCAGAGTGCCAACTTAAAGTGACTGACAGTATTTTAGTATTAGTTTTAAATGACGCTGTATTTGTTTATAAGAAAACTTTTAAGACCATCTGAGACTCCTGACAGCTCTTTTTTAATATTCTCCTGTGCTCCTTTTCCTTAATGTTTTCAAAAGTATTGATAACAAGTTTGGGGTGGCTTAGAGGATTATTGGTAACATCTCGGGCATCCTTATGAACTTCTGTGAACGTGTCCATATGCAAATCCCCCAGAACTTAGTACATTTGAATCAATGCCAATATGTACAAGCTGTTGTCCTTTGTACAAAGTGATTTTTGAGCTTAGCTGAATGAAATGGCTTTATATAAAAGCAGTATGTTTGAATACAATTCCTGTTTCTTCTTGTTCCTATAATTATACAAGATATCGGACCTTTACCTTAGACAATGCCTTGCACAAAGTGATGGGAAGATCTAATCAATAATAGCAGCTAATCACAATTGAATGACCATTATTTTGCAGTCTAATGTGTTCTATCGATCTGTGTAGTGTAGTAGGTACACATATTTCTTTCTCATGATCTGTGGGTCCAATATCATTAGCCAGTGAGAATAATGCGTTATGTAAAAAGTAAGAGAAAGCTATTAAAAATGCCCACTGTGTTTTCCAAAGAATTTAGCATTTGCTAGATTGCCACTCAGACACGGTTTTACAAGAGTTATTGTCATTTTGATTTTCAGATGAGTCATTGGGTGTATTGCCCCCAAAGGCACCTCATTATGATTCAGTGCACAGCATATAACATTGCTTAGGCTTTCGGGGCTCCGTGCAATGTGAGTGGGGGTTGCAGTTGCTCAGCACTCTGGAGTGGCAGCATTATGCTTAATTGACACCTTTGATGTAGCCCTAAGACAGCACCTGCACCTCCCACTGCTGCTCTGAAGACGTCAGCCTTACGCAGAACCGGCTTCTGCTTATGAATCCTGCATCGCATTCAGCTCACTCTGTGAACAGCCCTAGCTATCCTTAACTAATCCCACTGCTTCTCATTTTTGCTTCAGCTTGGCTTAGTGCAGAGCAGGAATTTTGCTGCTTGCTATTATCAGGTTAAACCCTAAGATTTTGTCCATGTTAGAACTCATAGAAGGTAAGTCAAATGCCTCGTTGATAACCTAGTATGTAAATATTCTCCTAAAATGCAGAATTTGGGAATCTAATTATTGATTCTTTTTGTCCTAATGCTGACAGATACAGACTGTGATATGACAGTTGCCTGTTTAAAGAATATTTACATATATATGTGATACATGCTTTGTAGTATTTATTTCAGTGTTTTACTGTGAACATTATGAATAGCTTCTTTGTGATTACTTTGTAGTAGTATTCTGTCCTCTGCTGGTGTTGTTTTGTTTATTTAATGAATAATATCACATGCATGCAACCGATGCTTCAACAATAAAAAGCACTGACATATTTGAATTTGAGAAAGTGAGGGCTTGCTGTGACTCAGACCTGAGATGTTACATCCACTTCATCCACATCTTGAAAGGTCTTTTGAGTTAAGTCTGAGGTGATGTTTGGGTCAGATAGTAATGCAATAATCTCTTCAAGTGAGTGAGGGAGCAACAGCAAGCAGTTGATTTGTTCGTGCAAGCAGTACAGCTTTTTGTTCTTGTTAGTTGCACTTGAAGCAGCTAAATGGAACAAAGAGCTTTAAATACAGCAAATATCTGCAAAGGGTAGGCACAAAGCATGTTGAGCTGCATCACTTTGAAGTGTAGGAACAATACAGTTTAACATGTAATAGTGTCCTGTGTCACTGACTAAACAGTCTCTTCAGATTCATTAGACTCTCTGCTTCGACTCTCTGTCAAAACTGGCTTCATAAGATTCCAACCTCTGAGGAAACAGTTCTTTTATGAATGACCGTATTTAATGTTTAAAATATGAAGAGAGCAAATGAATCTTCCAAAAAAAAAAAAAAAAGTAGATTTAATTATTTCCTTGCTTTTAATAATTCCTTGTATTTATTTTCTCAATTTTTGGACCCTTAGTGAATGGAACTCCTGGTAGCCAGCTTTCTACTCCCCGCTCTGGGAAGTCTCCAAGCCCATCTCCCACCAGCCCAGGAAGTCTACGGAAACAGAGGGTAAGGAAATAAGGAAACTCATTTCTGAGAGAGGCCCGGTAGGATCTGACATAGCCTTTATCAGACAGCATCCTCCCCAGCAATGCCTTGTGCTTAGAATTGTAGGTTGGAAGAGCTTGGATATAATCCTCAATGTGTTTGTTTGTGCAACGTTTTTAAGTGGAATACAAGTGTTCTGTGTCCTTCAAAATGCCAAATATGCTGGGAATTGGTTTATCTTTGAGGAGAAAAAAAGAGAAGATTCTCTTTTTCTCCAAAACATTTTCTGTCTGTTTGTTTTAGTTTCCTTTTCCAAGCCTCTCACAACTGCAAGAAAATGTTGATGTTGTCAAAGTTTTTTTTTATTTTTTTTCCTAACTTACCATTGGCGTTATAACACATGCAAAACCTACCAGAGCTTTGATTTTGAAACAAAGTGAAAGAATGCTCTGTGGAATTAGTTGTGATATTATAGCCTTGTGCAGCAAAGATATTATCAGTAGCAAAGCAATGGGAAACCTTTTGGCACCTTGCTGGACCAGAGTTCTTAGTAGCTGTAAGTTCCCATTGTCTTCATATATAGAGAATCTATAATGTACCTAGCCATCCAGAATGATGGTAATATCTCTTTTACTGCTCTAACCATGTAATAGAATATTACTGGTCCAACCCAAAATACTCTACATGCAGATTTAATTAATTTGAGTTATTCAGAAGCAGTGGGACACACGTCTATTTATCTTCTCTTCTGATATTTTTGAGACTGTGATCAGTTGTTCTCAAAGAAAGCTTCCCTAAGGCAGTGCTCTATATCTCAGTTTTCTGTTTACAAGTATGGTTGAAAGACTTTTTTTTTTCTCTGCCTTCTTGTTTTTTAAATAAAGACAGGATTTGTGTCTCTCAAAGAAAGAGATTGTACATAGAATTGACAGTGCTTGAATTTAGCAGTCAGTTCATTCCTGATGTCCCGGCTATCCAGACCAGGGTTAGCTGGAAAATGACACGACTCCCTTCATGCCTGTATATCCTTCCCTCTTTCTCATGGATACCAGAAGGGAGAGGAATTGTGCATGTCCAAGCCTTATACCAAGCTGGGATGTAGGAGTGAGATTCTGTCATGACTTGCTTGTAGGCTTGGAAGTTGACTTGGAAGTACTCTGTGATCCTGCAGCATAGAGATAGGCACTAAGAGTCAGCTTGAAACCTCAGGATAGTCATTTGTTCATTGTTTGGTACATAGTGAGTAAAGATGCAAGTTACAGTTGGGTAAGTTGGTAGTAAAATCTTGAATGCAATGCCCTGTTTGCTCTTAGTCTCAAGACTCATGAATGAATCATTAATAAGTCATTGCAGAGTCTACCAAATGAATTATAATGAATTATACATTGATGATGTGAGGGTGTCCATTAAGATACACAATACAGAATATAGTGGATTTTCTTCTGTTCTAAGGCTTCCTCTTTCCATTGGTAACCCTCCAAAGCTTCCTTTGTTGCTTCTGACCAAGTAATGAATAAATGTTTTTCTGTTAACATTTGTGGATGGATGAATGGGAGCCATGTGGTCAGCACCATTACATACAAGACGTGTTTGTCCACAAGATTTTCTAAATGTGAAGTGGAAGGCAAATGGGTCTCTTCTAACTGGTTCCCTATATGGAAGTATAACAGGATCACTAAAGCAGTCTTACGGATGCAAAGGGTCATGTGATGGTCATATAATCACATTGCTAAGTATATAGAAGTTTTGAAATAAAATTGTATAAGAGTTGACTTTTCCTCTCAGGTGTTCATATTAAGTTCCATTGACCTCAGGGGAAATTTCATGCCTCTCTGGACACAGAATTAAGCCCCTGAACACAGAGAAGGACAGGCAACCACGGTGTTAAAGTTGATGACACCTTCTATTTTGGGGCTTTATTGTAGAAAAAAATATATTTGTACATATTAAAACAAAAGGTGTATTTGTGTAAAAGACATTAAACTAATGTTACTTAGGTTGAAAAATCTGCTGCCCAGAGTTTAAGGAATGGAAACATTACATTTGGCAAAAGAACTTGACTCAGGTCATTTCATACCTTGTGAAGTGAATGAGCAAGACCATGTGACTGTGTCGTTAAAGGTCATAATGTGTATTCATATGACTGAACCAATGTTATGAACAACCATAAAACGGCGCTTATTAATCTTAATAATACTTTGTTTTGCTTTAGTGCCATCTTTGTACATACCCTTTTAATTACCCATTTGATATTTATTTATAGAACAAGTTATTTTGTGCACCATATTTTCATAAACCACATTGGAACCCAGAGCATTTTGTATTGTCTTCAACCACTTGAACTACAGGAATAACTAGGCAGCTACAGGAGAAGATTTATTCCCTAGAAGGCTGTTGAGGTGGTGGTGTCATGTGGTGGTTATACAGGAGAGAAGGGGGACTAGTGTGACTTGCTCTTGTCTCCATCTTATTTGGGGGATATTTCTACCCATGCTCAAGAGAAGAGCAGATAGATCTATGTCTTGGGACTTGCCACTTGAATGTGTTGGAGCTGGAAGACTAGAATTGGATCAAGTGTTGAATCAAGTGTTGAATCAAGTGTTGAAGCAAGCAGAGCTTGATTCCCCTTGATGTAGCTGGTAGATCCGGTCTTCAGCATCCCCATTTGAGTGTTATGAAGGAACTGTGGGGATTCTGCTTAAAATGCTCAGGGGTGCAGGCAGGCAGTCCACAGTTTCCCTGAGAAACAGGAGTGAGATTCCTCACAGTGATGGATTTGAATTCACTAGCACTAAAGCAAGGAGCTTCCATAAATGGAGGTATTTCTCCCTGTCAATAGAGAAAAACTGTGAAAAATGTTAGAAAAAGGAAATCAAACCAAAGCCAAAGGGAAAAAAAATCCTTCTAGTTATGAAATGTATTAGGCAACTTAAATATAGGGGTTATAATAATAAATATAATTATAAATTATTAATTGTAAATTATAAATTAAATATAATAATCTTAGGCAAAATTTAGCCTATTCTTGAGGTTTGAAAGAGAAACTAATAGGCCAGTTTAATTTTATAGTTGTAATATGGATACTTGAAAGTCATCTAATAATCATTTGATCATTTGGGATTTCTTTGTTTTCCTAGAATTTACACTTGCAGCCTTAGTACTTTAATTATATTTTCTTATATTTTATATTATATAGTTATATTTGAATATATCCTTGCTAGCAAATCAGAAGATTATTTTCTGATATTAGAAATGCCAACACTTAATATGCAAAAAAAATACTATTCAAAATGAGAAGCTTTTTTATTAAAAATGGTTTCTTTGTATACATTGTTCACACAGAAATTATATTTAAGACATAATTTTCAGAAATGTATGTCAGATTAATATGACTGTCTATTTGTACAAATGCCTATTAGCAGTTTAGCTGTAGAATGAGCAATTCAAAGGAATTAAAATCTGCTTTATACATCTCTCTCATATAGAGTCGTTAAGATTGGTAAATTTGAATTTTTAAAACATTACTTTTAAGCAGTTCTTGCTTTCAAGCATAGATTTCAGGTCTTGTTTGTTTGTTTGTTTGTTCGTTTTGCCTCAGTTACCCTCCTGTGATTTAAAAAAAAAAATGCACAAAACTCAAAAGCAAAAACCTAGAGCAATGCTAAAGCTGTTTCCTTTAGCTTTGCATTTTCATGAGCTCTCCTAATTCGATGACCCTGCTGACTTTGGTCTTGTGTATGTTTTGGAGTACTTAGGAGTGCTCTGTACTCCAAGTTTATACTCTAAGTATATGCTCTATACTGAACAGGTCCCCAGAAACACTTCAACAGCATCCAAGCTGCTTGAAAGAGGTGTGCTGGGGATGGGGGAAGCCCTGTAACGCTGCTGGCTCAGTTAGCGCCTCCCTAAATCAGCCTCTTGGCTTAACTCCCCTTGCAAAGACAGCACTTGCTCCTCTGCCTCTGCTCCTTGGTTAACTTTCTCTTTGCTTCTCGGCTGTCCCGTATCTCAGAGAAGGCTCCTGTGGGCTGAATGGGGCAGCATCACCTCCTCCAGCACCTCTGGCACTGCAGGCTCTCCCAGTCCCTTCTTCCACTCTGGGTCTCTTCTTCTGCTGTCTTGAGCTGGTTGCTTGGCTACCATCAGACAGAGACAGAGAACAGGGCATTTTACATACTTTCTACCAAAAAAAAAAAAAAAAAAAAAAAAAAAAAAAAAACAGTATAAAATGCACATCACTGTCAGATAGTGCAGAAGATATGTGTACATGTAGTGGCAGTAACCATGAACCCAGCCTCTTGGATTGCTGGGTTCATATTGCATGACCAGGGAGGGCAGCAAGTTTTGCCTGCCTTATAATAATGAAAGGTAGGCATTTACTCTCCTACAACTATCTGTGAAACAAAAGGATATATATTTTTTATTTTGATAAAAAAATTAAAGGATTAAATTGATATTGCCAAGTTTCCAGTCATTTGGAGACTCTCCAGAATAGCCAAACATTGTTTTAATAGTGTTTAATTGGAAAGATTTAAAGAAGAAAATAATAGCTGTTTATTCTTTTTTATGTTCAAACTCTAGATGTATTTACTAGCCATGTGTTTATTGATTAAAAAACAATTTACCTTGTGAAATTAAGTTAAAAGTCTGAATGTATGCACCTTGTGTATTTTCTACTTAAAAGTATCTTCTGGTCCTCAGTAACCAAAGATTGTAAGACAGTTGCAGTGCAACAAGTCAAACAAATTAAACAAATCATTACTGCACTTCATCTTACAGGACCTGTATCGCCCACTCTCTTCGGATGATTTGGATTCAGTAGGAGACTCAGTGTAAAAGGAAAAGTGGAACAGTGTTTATGGTTTGTGATTTGGTGAAGGTTTAACATTTTAAAAGAGAATAGCTGCTAATTTACAGTAACAGTGAATCACACGAAAGAGTTTTGCATATTTAATATTTAAAACACGGGGCCAAATTAATTCTAAAGTGTGGGGACATTTTTGGCTTTCCCACTGCTTTTA